AAGCAGGGTCATCCTAGAGCACATGGCACAGGATTGTGTCCAGATGGTTCTTGAATATCTCCAGTGAGGAAGAATCAACAACCTCTCTGGGCAGTTTGTTCCAGTGCACAGTCACTCACACAGTAAAGAAGTTTTTCAGTGGTGAAGAAGAGTCCTTGGGCTCTTGTGTCTTAGAAGCTCTGAAATGTATCCCAACTAGCTGCCTAATTTTTGTAAGAGTCCAAAATCAACTCCACAAAGGGCCACATTTTGAATCATATTTTGGAAATTAAAAAAAAAAAAAAAAGTTAAAATAAAGCAATGACAGAGCCCAATGAAATCATGGCACAGCATCATCGAATATACATTTTATATATGACCTCTGAAAGCACAAAGGTCAGCAAAAATGACCTAGAGAAGGTCTGTGCTGAAAGTCATATTTATTCCACACGTGAATGAGAACCAAAAAAAGAATCTTATTCGTACTAGAAATATTTACTTGTTTCATTTAGCCTGTCCACACTCTTCCAGCTGGGTAATGCAGTATGTTTGCGTTCCTTCTGTTTCCTGGACTGTCCTTTCTGCTGCCTCCGAAGTGGCTCTGTCACAGATGATGCAGGGTCTTGTCCTTTACTGGTTGTATCTTCACTAGCCAGGGAGAATGCAGACTGAGACCTCTGTGGGATTAAAAATCAAAGCACATAATTTAAAAATAGAAATACTTAATTATCCAGCTCTACCGTAATCAGTATTCAGTTACCCATGGAAGTGTGGGATCTGCTAGCATCACAAATGGAATTTAATATATTCAAAAGAATTGTTTCAGCATTAGATTGCTTATTTACGTGCATTTCTGATGCTATGAAGGGAGGCAGGAAATTGTTTATACTACCATGGACCAGATGGAAAGAAAGAATTAAGGAGAAGTTATTGTGAATGTGCTTGGTGAGGACTGATACATAACTGTTTCGACTCAAGTTAGCCAGAAAGAGATCCCATTGTGGTGAGACATGATGATCTATTGTTGGCTCAACAGGCCATCTGGTGTAACAATTTGCAGAAGTTAAAAATCTTTAAAAATGCAAACAAACAGCCTGTTCCCCAGAAACAGATATGCAACTCAACTATTTTAATGCAAAACTCTTGTTTGCTAGGACATACATGTTGACCAATATGTTGAGCAGCTTTATGCAGTCTTTACTAATGAAGTCAATACAGTCTACAATTGTGCATCTGTTTATTCCTATGAGGGTCACATTTCAAGTCCAAATGAGGTAAAATACTTCTGTGATTGTTAATCAGCCCTGACTACTACTGAGGGAAAGGTACTTTCCTTTGGTTCCGCATGAAGAGATCAGACATTTTAGTTTTAACTTAGGCACAGAAGTCAGTTGCAGAAGGCATTTAAATTTGGCCCTTTTTAACAAGATGTGAAAGCTGGCAGTGTCCTGCTGATTTCAGGAGAACTCACACTTGAATATCAAATCACATATGTAGTTCTAGAAACAAGGCTACAGAGCTCAAGTCAAGTTGCCTTCATAACAGAGTCAGTAGAAGAATGTATGCACTAGGTTTTCATTAAGACATATGCCTTCCAGTGGCTCAGCTGCTTTACACAGGCCAAGCTGGCACTCTCAAATCTTAGTACATTTTTACTGATGTTCAAACTACAAATAATTAACTACAACTATTAATCTCAAAAGGGCCAGCGTTTGCCTGTACCAGAGCTCTGCTTTGCACTGGTCCAGATGAGGTAGAGGACTTGACTTTCAGCTATTTTCTAGTCACTCCAATTCCCAGGACAGTATGAGCATTACTGGGAGACCTGCTGGCTTGAAAGCCACACTTGAAAGCCACAAACACCATTTTTTGGCTGCATCTCCTCCCATTTGAAATGCTCCTGTGTGGGACCCATGTACTATGCCAGAAGATTTAATTAACCACAAATCTTCCTGTATCCTTGCTCAGCAGTGTGATTTCATAACAAGTTCAGTAAAAAGAAACACAACTAAGTGCAAAGGTTTAGTTTGGTTCCTGAATGCTGGAGGAAAAGCCCTAGAGTCAAATATTTTCTATAATTGCAATGACCACATAACTTCATTCATCTTGCCCATACAGAGACACAGGTCCTAATGTGATGCATTGGAATGTTTCCTCTCAAATTCAGTGATATAAACTACTCACAATAAGTTCATAGTACTCTATAATTTTACTATAGGGAATCGTTCAGATGAATCACTTTTACAAGACAGCTATATTCAAGTGTATATTTGGGCTGTTTCAAACCTTGAACTAGATCTTCAACTGATCAAAATCATCTGAATCCTCCTTAACCCTGTAAGAGAGTTAATAATTTAACACAATACATACAGGTACATAAATTGTTTTACTATAGGAAATTTGCTTATTAACTTTGATTTCATCCTGGCAGGATATATGGACAATACAAACAATTCTGCCACAAATTGGCCACCTGAAGAATGACAAATTTTAATTGTGTTGTTGTTCAATTCACTTCATTGTAAAGCAAGAACTACCAAACTTCCCATGCTTTCGATAAATCAGGTCCAGTACATGTCTACTATATCTTTCTGTATCTTTGTGTTAAAGTTGTTACATACTGAAAGGAGCAAGTTGTTGTGACTGTCACTATTTTCACAGTGCCACGAATATTCCCTCAGGGTACATTTTTTTCTCATATAGAGCAAACGTGAGAGATAAGAGATGCTGAAGACCCAGAAGAAGGAATATCCTACAGTTCAATCAGTCATATCTATTTTCCCTTATTAAAATACTGAATCTTAAGAAGGAGAAGAAGAATATCAGGAAAAACTTAAGTAGTCCATGTAATGACAACCTGCACTTGATAATGACAGTAACATGTTTTTGTTATTATGTAAAATCTCTGTGTTTGACAACCTTTCTGTTTTGTTTAAATGGCAGCTTGTCGTGTGCCTACTCACTGTTTCATAAACACCACAGTAAAGGCTGCATTGCAGTGATGGAAGTGTCTGCATTTTGCTCTCAACTAGCTTGAGACCTGCCAGCAGCTTAGCTCTGACAAGGCAGAATTTGGCATGGGCTGTGAAACCCCTGCAGGAGCTGGGCACTCCTGACCCCAGACTGATGGTTCCACAGCAACATTGTGACTAGCACTGCCTGAGCAAGTTAAAGCTAGCTCCGGTGTGTCTACACTAAACGTGAGATAAAGCTTTCAGAAGGACTAGAAGATATACAACAGCTTGAAGGATTTAAAAAGGAGAAGATGACCATGAAAGGCCTGATGGACAAAAGGCACTGAAAAACAAGGAAGCACAGAAAAGAAAGTAGACACAGTCCCATGTGGTGTAGTAGACTAGGATCTGAATAAGCTTATCCAAAAAAGCTGATCTAAAACCCCTAAATGTTTAAAAAAATGTGTGCTGAAACTTTTGGGTCATATCAGAGGGAAAGTGCTCTCCATAGTTCCTGTAAACTCTCTGGTGAGCAGGATATTGGTATTATACAGCTACTGCTAATTCCCAGGAAATCCAGTCCAAATACACCAAGAAGTAAAGCTTTTGGTGCTTCCAAAGCTTGGCTTGAGGCCATCCTCATTGTTTTTTCTACACTTTATGTGAATTTTTTATAAAATCTGTCTTGGACTGCTCTGCTAGAAGCACCACGTCTTCTCACTGAGAATGGTTCAATGTCGTAGAAGGCTCAGAGAGAGAAAATAATAGCATGCTAAAATAGCTTGGCTGCACCCCTGCTTTCATATCCTGAAAAAGGAAGAGACTACTGAATTTGCACTCCTCACCACTACATTTGCAGTTCTCTGTAATTCTTGTATCTGGAAAGATTGAAATGATCAAGAAGTGCCAGCATTCTAATAAGTTCCAATTAAGAAGAATAAAAAAAAAGTAGAGGATTAGGTTATTTCTTGTTCTAAAAGTTAGTTTCAGAGAGGGATGGAAGGACAGATAGTAGAATTGTGTTTTACTCAGACAAGTATGGGTAGAAAGAAAGTATAAATATTCATCCCCCAACAGCAGTTCAAATCATTGGTAATACTGACAACTATACAAGAAAGGAGTGCTAATAGCCAAGCCTGGTGTAGGAATAGGAGAGAAGCATATCCTGGCATGAGAACAAATCAGTCTAAATTGGTATAAACTGACTGTATTTTTCAGAGCACAAAAGCAAATGTTTGTCCACAAGTTTATTGCCAATTAGCAGCTTGACTGATGACTCTATTGAAATGTAAATGACTTAAGACCTCCTTTTGTTGTTTTTTTTTTCAATAAAGAGCAAACTAGAAAGTTAGTTATTTGATGTGAAGTTACACCGCAAAACCCCAATCTTTGTTGGCACATTTGCATCAACTTCAACTCAGCTGGCACTGCTAACTCCACAGCCCTATAGCTACAGCTTGAGCTTTGGCATATGCTGCTGACTTCACTGCCACATTTACCTGTGGTAGGCAGTAGAATTACATATTTCTGGGCTGCATTTGTGTCTCACTTCCTCAGCCTATCCGTAGATACAAAGGGAATATTTTTCCCTTGGGGACATTCGTGTACCTAGCAAAACAGTGAACATAAGGGAACAGGACTGAGAAGCCTACCTGGAGGCTGGTGCTCCATGTAATTTCTATATACAGGGAAGTCCAGGAGGTGAGGCCAGCTACCCCAATAGGCTCTTAGATCAGTTTGTGTTGGAACAAGAGATATTTACTGATCAAATGAAGGAATCATGCCCCTTAATCTTTACCAACTGCCTACATATTTGGGCTGCAACAAGATCTCAGGGCAGAAGAACCAATCCAGTCTATTTTCTAAAGTATCCAAAAATACGGAACCTAAATCAATTTTCAAAAGAAGGCAGGAATGTGGGAACTTTGGTTCTGATTTATAAAGACATGAGATGTCAAGTAGGCAGCTAAAGCTACCCAGCATCCTTTCTAACCGAAAGTTCTGGTTCCTCAACAAAAAATCTACTCCATCAGCCAGGTACTATTTTAGGCGTATTTATGTGTGATGAATTATAAGACTGTGCTTTGAGTTTGCAGTCAGACACTGCTAGTTTCTGCAGTAAATTAGTATATCAGCAGATGGCATTGCAGCCCAGCAGGTCATTTGCTGTGCTCACCGCACAGACTCCTCGGAGGCATGTGCTGCCTGATGGAATGCTGTGCAGAGCAACACAGCTGGAAAAATATAGTTACAGTATTGACAGGCATTTCCAAACACTTGAGTTAGATGAGTTCCTTCCCAAATCCTGCCTACTGGCGTCTGCTGTGAGCTGTTTCTTTCAAAAAGAAATTCCAGACACATTCTTACTCCTTTTTTTTTTTTTTAATCCCTCTTCAGGGATTTCTATTGCAGAGTTTATAATGTCTGGCTGGAGAGAATTCAGCCTTCATTTTGTCCTGGAATAGAACTAGAAGGAATCATCTGTTTCATTGATGGTCTTCAAATAAATAAAAATGCTAAAAAAAAAGAAAAGACAATGTGATTTCTGAAGGAAGTTGTGAATAAAAAGTAGTCACATCTTCTGTTACTTAATAAATACAAATATTCCATCTTATGTCTGTAATCATTTACAAGTTCATTCTTCTGAACACTGAGTAAATAAAAACAAAGCAAGTAATGAAAAGCAAGAACAACTTTTTATAAACCACACTAGTGAATGTTGA